TTTTCCTCTTTGTAACTGATAAAAAATCTTGTGAAAATATTTTGAGCTTTGCTAATATCCTGTTTCTCCAACCACTAATTTTAGCATCCATCAGCAGATCTTGCCTGCAATTTATTGTGGTATTTGCAAAATGGTGAATTTGCATTTCTACCATTTTTCCTCCATTTACTACTAGTAGGAGTTTATTAATTGAATTTTGTAAGGAAAAGCTGTTCCTTCTTATGTGTATATGCATTTATTTATTTATAAATACAGTTCATGCATATTTATTTTATTCTATGGGTTATTTCCAACACTATGATTATTTATTTTTCTGCTCAAATTTTGCAGCTTTGGCCATTGGATACTCCTTAGGCAGCCTGGTGTTTTTTAACATATCATCCTTTTTCACATACTACTTCCTTATTTTCTGGAATTATAAGACATTCCAGGGTTATTTTTTATTTCCCTGCCTCAACCCTGGGATTAACCTCTTTTTCAAGAAAACCTAATTCCTTTCATTAAAGAATGGTATTTAGAAACCAAAACCTGGGCATTAATTGTGCTCATTGCTACTACGGTGTCATTGCTCCTAGGGCCACTCAGCAGACAGAGCTACGACATTTTATGTGAGTGTGTGTGTGTGTGTGTGTGTACACACACACGTATATAAATATTAACCCATGTGTACACACATATATCTCTTTATTTCTATATCTATCTATATTTTTAAATGAGTTTATTTCTATATCTACATATGTATATTAAAAAATGAGGTCATATCAATACCTCCAATTCTAATCTAACTCCACAAGGTTCATTTTAGTCTTTCCCCTTTCTTTATATGTAACTTCTTTCATTGAGAAGAAACCTGGTTCTCATTATCTACAATATATTTACTTCTTTGATTTTTTCTAGTAATTACACAATTGCTAACACATACCCCTGTGAGAAACAGATTTGCTCACTAAAGTTTTTGTGTACAAATCGTTTTGTCTTTAGCCAGTGGACTGTTTTGCTTAGTTTTGTCCTTCTCAGCCTCATCCCCTTCAGTGTGGTTACATGAGGTTTCATTTGTTATTGTTTGGATTCCATTTTGCACCCACTCCCCCGATTCTTGGTCGATTTTATTTGTTTCCTTGTTTGCTGCTATGGCCTAAGAGTCAAAGCTATACAAAATGACATATTCAGAGGAGTGTCTTTCCCTGCTCCTAACTATTCCATTCCCATTCTCCATTCTTTTCCCTTCTATCCCACCCACATCCCTGTAGGCAACCACTCTTTAGTTTCTGGTTTATTTTTCCTGTATTTCTTTTGCAGAAATGAGGAGATACATATATATTTCTTCCAACCATCTTACAATTCCCTTGTTTTTAAAATTTTTATTAATTTGGTATGGTTCCATTTCTTTGTGGTTTTATTATTATTTCTTTCTTTAGAAACAGGGTCTCACTCTGTTGCCCAGGTCGGAGTGCAGTGGCATCATCATAGCTCACTATAACATGGAACTCCTGGCCTCAAGCGATTCTCCCTCCTTGGCCTCCCAAAGTGCTAGGATTACAGGCATGAGCCACCACCCAGCTTCTTTGTGGTTTTAATTTGTATTTCCCTTATTATTAATGAGGTTGAACACCTTTTCACTTATTTATTGGCCATTTGGATTTCTTCTTCCAGGAAATTCCTATTAATGTTTTTTGCCCATTTTCTCTTGGATTCGTGTCATTTCGGTATTCTGAATACTAACCCTTGTTAGTAATACTTGCTACAAATTTGGGAGGCTTGTCTTTTGATTTAGAATGCCTTTGGCGAATAGAAGTCCTTAAGTTTATCTAGCTTTTGCCCTTTTATGCTTAAGAAATCCTCCATGAGGTTATTCAGCTATTCTCCTATATTGTCTTCGAAAAGTTTTAGAGTTTTGTCTTTTACATTTAAGTTTTTAATCCACCCGAAATTTTTTTTCTGTATCAAGTAAGGTAAGATCCAAAGATCCAATATAATCTTTTTCATGTGGATAACCAGTTCTTCAGCACAATTTATTGAAGATCCCATTCTTTTGCCACTGATCGGTAGTGCAAGCTTTATCTTAACTCAAGTCTCCATACATATAGGGGTCTGTTTCTGGATTCCACCTCTGTGCCCAAACCACTCTGTCTTACTAACACAGCTCTAATTCTTAATCCCTAGTGAAGCAAATCTTTCCCACCTTTCCTACTTCAGAACTGTCTTGACTCTTGTTGGTCCTTGGCTCTGCTCTAAAAAAACTGTTAGGATTTTTACTGAAATTATGTTGAATCTCTAGATAAATTTGAGAATTTCATTTTTACTTTATGATGTAGCTCTACTTAGGTCTTCTTTAACTATTAGTTTCATCATTTCCTCCATGAAGGTCTTATACACCTTTTGGAAGATTTATTCCTAGATATATAATATTTTTGATGTTATTTTAAATGGCTTTTTAAAAAAATACATTCCCTAAATGCTGCTGGTATATAGAAATGCAACTAATTTTTGTAAATTGATTTTGAATCCATCAACTTAATTCTTATTAATTTGATTTATTCATATATTGTATTTTTTACACAGACATATTAGTAAACAATTATAGTTTTGTTTCTTACTTTACAGTGATAAGTGAAAAAAAATCAGGATATACAATTATTAATACAAAATGTGAGCAGGCAGCACAGTGTGCACAGAAAAAAAAACCCCACAGGAAAGAAAGCACAAAAATGTAAGCAGTAGCTTATTTTTAGTTAAAGAATTATGGATAAAGGCCAGGCATGGTGGCTCATGCCTGTAATCCTAGCACTCTGGGAGGCTGAGGTGGGTGGATCGCTCAAGGTCAGGAGTTCGAGACCAGCCTGAGCAAGAGTGAGACCCCCGTCTCTACTAAAAATAGAAAGAAATTATCTGGACAACTAAAAATATATATATAGAAAAAATTAGCCGGGCATGGTGGCGCATACCTGTAGTCCCAGCTACTCGGGAGGCTGAGGCAGGAGGATCGCTTGAGCCCAGGAGTTTGAGATTGTTGTGAGCTAGGCTAACGCCACATCACTCTAGCCAGGGCAATAGAGTGAGACTCTGTCTCAAAAAAAAAAAGAATTATGGATACATTTTTCTTTTTTAATATATCTCTATACTTTCCAGTTTTTCCAAGATGAGTATCAGTCACTTTCATAACCAGGAAAGAAACAAAACTTTAAAATAAAAGCAAGTCTAAAACAAAATTTAAAGGTAAGAATGATCTACTAAAAATGCCTAGTTAGAAATAAAACCATCAGTTAACCTCTGATATGCCTGCTCACCACAGAGCCAGCTGGCTATGTAATTATGGACTAATGTGCCATGTTACATCTAAGAAAATAACCTCTTAGATTCCTGGAACTTTGTTCTTCCATTAAGGGCATGAATGGTATTGACACCTGTGAGTCTTTACACTTGATCTTAGCCGAAGGCCACAATTGGTCTTTGTTTTGAAATGTAGCCAACTCTTAATTATCCATAAAGTATATTTTTTTCCTCTTTACAAATTATCTATGATCTTTTCATATTAGAATGCCCTTAATTCACACTGCTTATTTCCTAAGGGTAAACTTGGGAAATACAGACTATTAATAATTCTCAACTGGTACTACTCTCCCCATTTCACAGATAAGGAAACAGCTACCCATAGAGATTAAGTAGGTCCTCTCTCTGTGCCTCTGCTGGCCTCCTCTACCCCATATGCCTTGTCTCCACCATGACCCTCCTCAAAATTATCCATCTTCTCCATCATAAGCACCATGAGGTTGAGGTCTTTGTCCTGTTCTCTGTATCCCCGGGCCTAGCACAGTACCTGGCACAATGCCTGACACGTAGCAGATGATCAAAAATAGACAGCAAACGTCAAATGGGTTTTACAGGCAATCCACTTTCCAAAACATCACAATACTGCCAAATTAAATGCTTTTGGAAATAGTCACAACAAAATTTGACTACATTTGGGTGAAAATTGAAAACCACCTCTGTGTAAAGGCTCCTAATTAAAAGTCTTTGAAAGCAAAATTACCTTTCTGTCTACCTTTTCTGGTATAAAGAATTTTTCATATGGTAAAACATTTTTCCTTTTTTTTTTTATACCATTTAGGGCTATTAGTATTATAGCATCTAGATGCTAATTGCATGTAGTTGTTAATTGACCTGGTTTTATATTAAAAGAAAAGCTAGATAACCAAAATTAAGTCAACATAATTGATAAAAGTCTCTTCACTTAAAGGAGGATTTGTTGTTTTAATTATCCCAACAACAGCTTCATGTGCCTAGAATTATTTTAGATGTCTGTATGTAGAAGCAATTTTATTATAGATAGAGATAACGCAGTACTAAAGTTCCACAGTGTCTAACATTTTGAGACTATAGACATCATAAATAATTTACTTTATTAATTTTGTGCACAAATCCAACTTCATTGAGGATTTCCCATACTCTAGATAGTGTGCAATATTGTCACTGTATAAAAATGGCTAAAACACTACCTTAAAAAGCTCACAATCTAATGTGGTATCTTTGGACATCATATTGTATTTTTTTTCTTAAATATGTTTTCTTATATGCATTTTGTTGCTAAGTCTGGGGTAAGGAAGGCTTGTGCTTATGTTAATTTGGTCCAGAGCTGTAGCCCAAAGCTTAATTTTTTTCTAAGTGGCCTGTAGAAGCTATTAGCAGCAGCACTTTACATGGTAGTAGAATTTAATTAAACAGAGGTCTCATACATTCAACTGCTTTTACTTCATGTATCAGAAAGTTCCCTGTTGTTATTTGTGTCACATATGGGAGGTGGTGAGGTATTATAAAGAAAAGGATGTCTGCTCTTCCCTCCTCAAAACTGTGGTGGGGAATACGAAAAGGAAAGAAATAACTGCTCTATAAATCTCTTTATACAGTTAGTACCCAGTATCAGCTGACAATGAACTTAAGTTTATCTTGTGTGTGTGTGTAAAAGTGTGTAAAAAACTGATGTCTTTTTTTCTTCTTGGCAGGAGTCCTTGTGGACTTGGGTCTGGAGGAGAATGGGACTGCTCATCAGAGAGCAGAGAAATATGTTGTTCGCCTGGACAATGAGATTCAAACCAAGTTTGAAGTTTTTATGAGGAGGGTAAAACAGAACCCATACACACTGTTTGTGCTAGTTCATGACAACTCCCATGTGGAACTAACGAGGTGATTGCTTCAGAGTGAGCAAATACAGTATTTCCTCTACTGCAGTAATTGTTACATAATGAAATGTTTTAAAGCTGATGATTTGAAAGCCCAGGGACCCTAACATTTGGTGTCTTCTTACTGGTAACTTTTTCCTTCCCTTTTCTTGCTTCTTCAACTTTTCTTAATGATGTAATTGTTTTATTTAACTGTACTGTAGATGAATGTAGAAATTCCTGCTAAAAAATACTGTCTTAAGAGCGCTGTGGACCCCGGCTGCTTCAGAGAAAGGAAGTTGAGATGAATGAGCTCCCAAAAGGGGGGCCGGCTTCCCCTTCTACCTCCTGCCCACTTCTTTTCCTGTTTCCTTTGCTTCTCTTCCTTTCTCTCTTGCTATTTCTCCTCCTCTTTGCCTTTCTCTCTTCCTTCTTAACTTTAAAAACAGTACAGATGCCATTTCAACGATGAGAGCATATCTGAAATCTTCCTCAGTTTCCCAGTTTAAACAAGAGTGTATCATGTTTCTTGGGTGGACTTACTAACAAAAGAACAGTAAACATGGAATGATGGAACCCCTTTTGCTCGCAGATCAAATTATAGGAATTATCTGGTAGAAGGTATTTTTGCTCCTATGGACTAAAAAATGCAAATAGTTTAAAGCAGGAGGAGGGGATAGTCATCGAGTATTATGTATGATGGTTTGTCCTTGCCATGTGGTGGGGAGAGAGATTTCAGGCATCATTAAGCATTTATAGACTTTCTTCTCTCCAGGAGACACTGAACTTAGGAATCTGCAAGTTTTTTGGTTTGTGGTAGGAGTGTCAGAATTACAAAAAGCACAAGCCAGCAAGTGTTTGATACTTGACAATCTGAAATCTAGAGCCATACATAGGTGTAAATGAGATCATGCATAACTTGTTAGATTTAGAAGAAGGGAGAAAGGGAGGGAGGGAAAAGAAATTTTTCCTGCATCTGTTCGGTTATTGCTAGTGTTCTGTGAGCAGAAATAGCTCACTGACCTTATATACCTCATCTTTGAAAGTCTGGGGTACTATTTCTGAGGATACATGTTGGATCTTTCTGTATTTAATTCTCTGGTGCATCAAGATTATTTCTTTGACAAAAAAATATGTACATATATATGTGGTTTTGAGGCTGCATGGCAACCTGGTACATCCAAATTGAACAGAACTAAGAAAGGTTCAGAGATAAAAGTCTTGGTGAGGGAGTGGTGTGGGAGGTCTCTGCAGCCCTTCTCGCAGCCTGGCAGCCCGAGGGAAGAAGGAAAGTAGCGTAACACAGTGGGGCGCCCTTGCCACTCTGGATCACCGCAAGGTGATAAGCATCGTGTTCTCGTGGAGAAGCTCCTTCATTCAGGTGATTTTCATAGTACAGTCATGTGCTGCATAACGACATCTGGGTTAACGACGGACCACATATATGACAGTGGTCCCTTAAGATTATAATGCCATAAAAGAATAAAAAGATTATTAATATATTACCATATTTTTACTGTACCTTTTCTATATTTGGATATATTTAGATACGCAAATAGTTGCCATTGTGTTACAGTTGCCTGCAGTATTCGGGACAATAACATGCCATACAGGTTTGTGGCCTAGGGCAGTAGGCCGTGCCGCCTAGGTCTGTGTGCGCACACTCTGCGATGTTCCCACAGTGACAAAATCCCCTCAGGATGTATTTCTCAGGACGTATCCCTGTCTGTAAGAGACACTGACTGTAAAGTCTCAACCACAGATTTAGATATCCTTGGCCTGGATAACTTAGTTTACACTTTGAGATATTAGGGATAAAGTGAAAAGGGGGGGAAATATATAACATTATACATACACATACCTGAAATCTGTTTGAATAGAAGGAGCATAATTTTTTTCACTTCTCAAAGTTTGGTTGCTTCTACTCCTGCTTCCAACTTAAAAAGCTAGAAAAATAAGAACTAAGACATTGTCTCCAAGTTGGTGTCTGATTCTGCATCTAACTGTCTAAATGAGGAGGTATTAACATGACTTTCCATGTTTCCACAGTGTCATTTCAGGCTCTTTGTCCCATGGTGAACCCAGTCATGGATTGGCTGATAGAGTCATTAATTGCAGAGAAGTTCTGGAAGCTTTCAACCTCCTGGTGCTCCAGGTTAGCTCCTTTCCATACACACTACAGACCCAACAGTCCCGAATCAGCTCCAGCAACGAGGTTCACTGGATACAGCTGGACACCCTGGTGAGTCTCTCGCCTGCTCTAGGATACAGGTCACGTTCCCAGTTCCCCAGGGACCTTGTAACAAAACATGGTCATGGCTTAAGACCATAGTCACAAGAGTTCTACATCTAACTAACATAATGCTTTAAAAAAGTTCAAAAATCTATATAACATAATGCTTCATCTTCCAAAAGTTCCATATATTCACAATTATAATTATATATTATATAATTATTATAAGACTAAGAACTAGTGAATAGTGTCCTATATAAATGTGATTAGGTGGTTCTTTTTTAGGTATCATGCAGATACAAAATTATCCATCCTATAGAGTTTTAAAAAAAGTGATGTGATCTGAGACCATCATGAACAGCTGGGATTATCTTTGTGCCTTTAAATGATTAATTTTACGCTGAGACCTGTAAATTTTATTGTCCTCTTAGATGGCCTCTCTGTCATGTTTTAGTCTGATGATCTGTATCACTATTAATTACACTCGTGCTCCCTCAGCAATTTGATTTTTCGTTTTTATCAGTTCTCAGTCTTCGGACTGAAATGGGATGATGGCACTGTTACTTTACAGAACTCAGCAGTAGCACTGAATGTGTTGGGAGTAGCCATCTCAATATTGAATCTATCCAGGTCTTTATTTTTTTTTTTACTCCCATCTCTAATACCTGAAAAATATTTTCTGCAACCTACAAAATGTATGCTAAATATACTACCAAAAAATAAATAAATAAGAGTTTCATAAACATAACAAAGATTAGCCATTAGGCAATGGATCCTTCATTAAAAAATATTGAACATATTTAATATTTAAAAATATGGCTGGGCACAGTGGCTCATGCCTGTAATACTAGCATTCTGGGAGGCTGAGGAAGGAAGATTGCCTGAGGCCAGGAGTTCAAGACCAGCCTGAGCAAGAGTAAGACCCTGTCTCTACAAAAAATAGAAAAATTGGCCAGGCATAGTGGCATGGAATGCTACTTGGAATGCTGAGGCAGGAGGATTGCATGAGTACAGGAATTTGAGGTTGCAATGAGCTATAATGACACCACTGCACTCTAGCCCGGGCAACAGAGCGAGACCCTGTCTTAAAATAAAATAAAATAAAATAATAAAACACATTGGGCTAGACACAATAGCTCATGCCTGTAATCTCAACACTTCGGGACAAAGAGGTAGGAGGATCACTTGAGCCTAGGAGTTGGAGACCAGCCTGGACAACATAGCCGACTCTATCTCTGAAAAAAAAAAAAGAAGAAAAATTAGCTAGGCATGGTGACACGTGCCTGTAGTCCCAGCTACTTGGGAGGCTGAGGCAGGAGGATTGCTTAAGCCCAGGAATTGGAGGCTGCAGTGAGCTGTGATCAAACCACTGCACTCCAGACTGGACAACACAGTGAGACCTTGTCTCAAAAATAAATAAATAAAAATAAACATGTTTAAATAAAAACCACCAGAAATGTCTTACATAAGACTAACATTTATTTATCAACCTAGTGCATTTCATTCTGTCATGAATTAGGTAAGTTTTCCCTTACTTTGAGCTCTTATCTTCAAGCACTGGTTTGTTCTTTGCAGTCAGCAAGCTGAGGTCCTTGAATGGTGTTGGCGTCAACAATCCCTCCCTTATGAGAACTGACTGACTGTGTTCACTATCACTAGAGATTACTCTGAGCTTTTGCTTTCTTGGTATGGTCCCCATGCCAGCTCCATCCATTCATTGGGAGGTCAAATTAGGGTGAGATAACAGAGCTGCCCCCGTTCCTTTGACACTAAAGTACAAGGTGAGTCCGTGGGCTGCCCAAGTAGCTGCTGGGTTGCTCTGACACAGAATGGGATTGCCAACAGAATAAATGGAAATAATAATAATTTTTAATCCAACAGATAGTTCTCTATTAAATGTTAAGTTTCAATATATTGTTGAGGTGGAGGGAAAACTATCCTAATTTGTTTGTCCAGTGTTTTGTAGAAGAGATCACACTCCAGGGATAGGAAGAATTACTAATAACTTTTGCCCTTTATTTTCTCCTGACATGAAATAATAGAGAAACAGGCTTCAAACAATTTTCCTTAAAAGTCATTCCATGATTATGGATAAATTTTTAGGTTTAATAATGGTATTGTGGTTATATTTCTGAAAAGGTTCTTATCTTAGAGATATCTAGTGAAGTACTCATGGATTAAAGATATGTTACCAGGGATTTATCCAAAATAACTGAGGGGTGGGGAGATATTATACTCTCCCATAGTGAAAGGTTTTTAAAAATCATCCCTACAAAATTGAGATCGACATAGAGAAAAGGAAAAAACACTGAATCTGATTTACAACAACAACCTTCTGTGTGTAGGGGAGAAGCTCCTAACAATTAGCCCCCTTTAGTTATCCTGAAGCCAGTGTCCTGCAGGAGGAATAATTGGAAAAAGCAAAGTAATTCAATTAAAAAAAAAATTATTGAGCACTTGTGGGCTTGTGTTGGATCTTTCAAAGAACACACAGAAAACTGATGGTTTAGAGGAGAGAGCAAAGTACATACCTAAGTCACTATTATCCAAAGTAAAATAAGACAATTTTAGAAAATCAAAATGCTCTGGGGTTGAAATGAGGGAGAAGTCACATCCATCTGAGAGGACCAGGAAAAGCTACGTGGAGAGGGGAGCACTGAGGATGATGGTGGACAGAGAGGAAGACTGGGCAGAGAGAGACTGGGTGTGGGGGCAGGTGCTCCTGGCAGCAGACAGCGTGGGCAGGGACACAGTGGAGGAAACAGTGGGCATTTTTTAGAGAATACGTAGTAGGATGCAAAAGAAACCTGGTAATATACATCGTATGGAGGCTTTGAGTGCCAGGCTGGCAAAGTTTACACTTATTACATAGGCATTAAGGATTTTTAGCAAGGGTATAGTATTATTAGAATATACATATTTCTTTTCTTTAATATTGACAATGTAAATACACAGCTGGATGAATTTTCACTAATGGAACATATCCATGGGACCAGCACTGAGATCAAGAAACAGAACACTGCCACCAACTCAGAAGTCCTGTGTCCCTCCCAGGCACCCCTCCCCGCCCCAAGGGTAACACTCTTCTGGCTTCCTATACCGTGGGTTGGTTGTGCCCAGTTCTGACCCTATACAAACGGAATCATGCAATATGCACTCTTTTGTATCTGGCTTCCTGTGCTCCACAGTATGCTTGTGAGATTTGTCTATATTTTGCATGAGTCATAAAACATTCATTCTTATTGCTGTGTGTGTGTGTGTGTGTGTGTCTAAAACGTTGTGTGACTCTACCACCATTCATTTTTCCTTCCTATTTCATTTATTTCAAATAGTGCAGCTATAACGTTCCAGCATATCCTTTAGTAAACGTGTATGTGTTTCTGTTGGGTCTGTATCTGGGAGTGAAATTTCTGGGTCATCGGGTACGCATATGTTCAGCTTTAGTAACTACTGAGAGGCTGCATTTTAAGGCAGTTCATTCGATCTAGAAGCTAAGTCCAAGTAATTAGAAGGAGGAGATCAGTCACTGGCTTTTCTGATAATTCAGGTCAGAATTAACAAATACCTGAATCAGAATGGTGGTCCTGGCAACCAAATAGATGGAAGACATGGTAAATTTTCTAGGACTTGTTTATTCAGGGAGAGGGAAGAGTGAGAAATATTTTTGAGGTGATGCCTTTAGTTGGGAAAAAAGTTTGAGAGGAAGCTTGATTTGTGGAGGGCAGATGAGACTGAGTGAGTTAGGACCGAGGTGAGCACACCATTGTAAATGCAAAACTGCAGTTCACATCAGGGCTTTACGAGGTAGATCTGCAATATTTTTTCACAAACAATGATTATGGAAGCAGCTAGTGTGGGTAAAATTATGGAAGAAAATAATGAAGAGAATTGTTGAGAGGGTTGTGAGGCCAAGGACTAACAAGTCACCGCTGCTGGAGTTGGCCTCAGGAGTCCTTGGTGACCTTCCAGGGAACAACGTCAGGGGAGCAGAGAGATTGGCTGGAGCAAAGGGAGAGGCGGCAGCCAAAGCCCGGGGAGAGCTGCGGTGGAGGGTGGAGGGTCGCTGACAGGGCAGGCCTGCGGGAAGGAGATGGTTGTTTTTGTTTGTTAATGAGAAGGGACGTTTTTCCCCAAAGAAACAGTGATTCAATAAGTCATGTGATTTATGATATTTGTAATAGATCTTTTTTTGCCTAACCACTAGATGATATGGGAACGATGTATAATATATCTTTACAGTGAAATCATTCAATTTCGTAAGTGTATTAAAGGATGGTCCCATTCACTTCCATCATAACTTTTGTAGCACTTAAAAACTATAGTTACAGTTTAATGCAAACATAACAGATTAGGGAGATAATTCACTTCTAATTCTAAGTTTTAGTAGCTCTGGTTCTCAAAACCCACAGTGGCTCCAATTGATCACAGGCATCTATTTAACAACCTGTCCTATAATTTTACTAAGAAAAAAGAGAGAGAAATAAAAAACGAGGACAGGTGGATGCAGCAAATTATAATTCTGCGTCAGGAAAGGGAGCAGGCTTGGAATAGGATTTTATTTTCCAGAAGAAATAGGAGCCAAGGGTAAGAGGAAATGTGAAGACCAAATACAAGATAAAGATTTTCCAAACGACCGTGTGCCTGCGGCCCAGATGGGGAAGGACAAGTAGATGAATGACTTTTCTTTTCCCTCCTGAAATTACTTATTTCGACACAGCTATCCAGAACACAGCTAAACCCAGAAGGAAACAAGCAAAGGCTTCTAAGCCTCTGAAATAGGTGTCGTTCAGTCTGTACTCTAATTTTCTAGTATCTATAAGAACATACTCTGGTCCTCTCATAAAGCCTATTTACTCTCCAATAAAACCCTGTTCCAACAAGCGGATTTAACTGGTTTTGGGGGCCTCAAAAAAATTCAAAGCTGCCAATTAAATAGTGCTTTATTTTGATCTCATTGACCTTGTATCACACAATTGCTTCTCTCTTTAGATGGGTTACTGAAAAGCTCAGAACCAAACTCGCAGCCCAGGTCTAACGAAGTGTGCAAAAACTTCTGGTATGCATTTTGGGGAGTACTCGCTTTGTCCCTGACCCAATCTTATTTCTCTTACCCTTGCTTTTTTTCCTCTGATGGCCTAATTTACTTTTACCTTATTAGACTTTTTCAAGTTGCCTTATTTCCTTTATGAGTTGGAAAGTATTTAAAGAAAAATGTCAACACATAATAAATAGCAAATAGAAGTGAGACTACAATATGAGAGCAAGAAGAAATTACTGTAAAAAGTTAATGTAGAAAAGAGGCCAAAAAAACAAACAAACAGGTCCATGAACTCAAAAATCTTTCATAATAATCTGGTGCTTCTTAGTTTAAGGACAAGCAGCTTGTCCTCTGAGGGCATCCTTGTGTCTCATCCTAGAACAGTTACTCGTTTTCATAGTGATAACTAAGTCATCAAGAAGGGAGGTAGGTTAAATACTGTGTATGCTGTTTAAGAAGGCAGAAAAGTATATATTCCATTTTAAAAATAAATTTTGTTTGTAAAGGATAAGCTTTTATGAGGTACCATTATTAAATGATGTCCAAAAAAGTTGTTTCTGTAACAGAGGAGTTGAGTGTGTCAGTCTCCAGGGAGTTCTGTGGCTGGCACATGTATCAGTGTTAGGGAGCTGCTTCCAGCAAGGAGAGAATGGGAATGGAAGCTATCTGACCTTGTGTATCTGAACAAAAGAAAAAGAAAGCAAACCACTGACGTAAAGTTACTATCTGCCTTAAGGAAGTTTGTCAATATTCCACTAATAACATATTAAGTTCATCTGAAGTGAAAGGTTAGAGCCTCAGACAGAGATGATTACGCAGTTGGTGTCCACTTACCTAACGAAACACAATTTTTTTTTTCCTTACCTGCCAGGAAATAACCTCTTCCAGGGATTCTTCTGTCCCCCGCCCCCATCCCCCGAGAATGGGACACACTGTATCCTGTCCTCACTGGGTTTTTGCTCTGTCTTTTGAATCAGGAGGACGTGGGCTGCGAGGAGAAGCTGTACTTCGGCTTGAATGAGTACAGCAAGTCTCTGCAGTGGGGGATCACAAGCCCACTTCTGAGATGTGACGAGACTTTTGAAAAAATGGTGACCACACTCTTGGAGAGGTAATAAGGACTCCTGTCCCTTTCCTCTGGCTGTCCTTGCAGATCTAAAATAGCTAAAAGCCTTTTGTGTCAGTGCCACGGAGAGTTCGATGGAGCCCTTGAAGACAACATGCAAAGGCTGAATTAAAACAGCCTTTCCCAAGATGACCTTCTATTCCTGTGGGTTGTATGACCGTCCAAGACCGGTAAAGAAAAGTAGTGACCCGAGCGGAACGGAGCACCCACTCTCCATGCTGAGTCATCTCCCAGTCTTGCTTCAGCGCTACCACCAGGAGGTTAAAAGGGCACAGAGGGATTTACGTATTAAAGACCATTCCTTTCGAGGCTGCAGTGAGCTAGTGGCACTCGAGCCTGAGTGACAGAGCAAGACCCCATTGCTGAACAACAAAACAACCATTCCTCTGAGCTCGGGCCTCCCCGACCCTACACATCAGACTTTTACATTTTTCCCTCTTTTCTCCTCTACCCACCACAGGCAAATACCCTCAAATGACTTGGTAAAAACTGAACTTTACTAAGCGATTTGGAGTATATATTGGAAAAAATGCAAGATCAGATAATTGAAGTGAGTGCAGTTCTAAGGGTGCCTCCTCCAGTCCCTGACCTTAGGGATTAAGATCATGACTCTTTTGTCTTTCCTGCCTTTTTTTTTCCCCCAGTTCCAGATCAAATTCTGGAAGAGTTTTTTCCTCTCTGACCTTAAATCATAGACTCAAAGAGTAGGTAGAGACATTAGAATTTACCTAACCTAACAGAGGCCCCCTCTGCCCTCCACCACAGTACTCTGTTTGATCATCCAACAATGGGGGAACTGGGCTGTATTTTATGAGGCAGATTCTAATTTTTAGAAGCTCTAATTCTTAAAACTGGCTCCAAATGGTCACAAACCATCTATCTAACAGCTTGCCCCATGAGTTTGCTAAGAAAAGAGAAATAAAAATGAGGACATGTGGATGTATGCTGGACGGCAAGGTATAAATAATGCCACCTCAGGAAAGGAAGCAGGCTCGGAGTAGGATTGGATATTTTCACAGCTGTTGGATTCGAGAAGTCTTAACTGACACTGTGACATTAATCCTTTCACAGCACACGTGATCTTGAATTTCTAAAATCATCCCATGAGTCTCTCCCCTGTAAGCGTTTCCCACCCACCCATTCCATCCACCCGACTGACATATCTTTGTCCCAATGACATCAGTCACAGCTTTATAATTTGTATTTTAAAGGATGGTCCCATCAACTTCTATTACAACTTCCGTGACACTTACAAAACTATAATTATTTTAATGCAAGCATAATACATTGGGGAAACTATTCACTTCTAACTTCAGAATTACTTCAGAATGTGAAATTTAAATGCTTATATACCAAAATTACCATTTATTCTAATTTTGGCTTTTCTACGTGGCCCATCAAAAAAACATTAAGCTTTAAAGCTAGTCATTTATGCTTACTTCCTCTACCTCAGTCACCCCAGGCTAATGATAGATATGATTTATTGAACACCTGAAGGGACCAGCCCAGGGCTGCTTGAACTGAAGGATTTCTGCACTTTCCCCAACCTGCTCAGTCCTTGCAGTGTGTGAAGACATTGTTAGAGACCTGATTAAAACCCAGACCCAGCTCTGTCTCTGACTGGCTGTATGACCTGGGACAAGTAGCTGAATTTCTCTCTGCCCCTTAACTCATTCTCCTTCTACGAAAGGCAGAGTGGTTAGAATATAGGGCATCTATGGCCCTTTCCAGCTCTGAAATACCTCAAAAGTATTCACCTATTATTCATTTGATGACCCGAATTGATATTTGACCCAAGCCTTTTCTGTGCAAGCCGGTGGGCCACTTGTTGTATTTTCAAGAGAATTAAGAAGTGGAACAAAGACGAAATCCCCCCTTAGCCCACCCAGCTGCGAGGCGGCTGCACGTGCCACCAGCTGGCAGCTAGGAAGAGAGGCAGACTCAGCCTCACTGTGCCAGGCTCCACGAGAGCCTTGGCCAAGCCTGGCCCCGGCCTTGCTTTGCCAGCACTTACTTTCCGGACTAGCGCCTCTTCGTGCCTGTAAGTGGATCCTCTTTGCCCGTTTGTCCTCATTTTGTGATCAGGCCTGGCTTTCTGAGGAATAGCACCAAAATGAGAGATTTCTTTTCTACCTGCTCTGTAATTGTAAAAGCTGCCTATTTGAACAAAGGGAGCCTCTTACCTGGCAGTCCAGGCCATGGGGAGAAAGGACTGTTGCTCCCAGGCTCAGATTTGCTGGGCTGCCTTGACTGAGCAGGGGCTCAGGTGATACGAGGCCTCACCACTAGGGGGTGCTATTTCTCCAGCCATTCTCCAGCACCGAGGAAACAGTTCATGGCAAGATAGAGTTACTGCGGCTGGGACGATGACCTCAATCAAATTGGTAATAATAATTACCCTTATTATGTATGATACTCCACAGATTATTAATGTCTCAGTTTCCTTTGCTGTAATTTTAAATATCAGAGAAGTACACTGACAACGCTGCCATTCTAACCCTATGCTGCCAGCAAGAGGTGAGGATCAGGGATGATCCATTGTGACTGTCAACAATTACCCCTACTAGACAGACCAGTGTGGCTCAAAATCTAACGTGCGTACACAAATCACCTGGAGGTCTTGTTAGCTGCACGCTTTGATGCAGTAAGTCTGGGTGGGGCAAGGTGGCATCTCTAACAAGCCGCCAGGTGCCGCCGCTGCTGCTGGTGATGCTGTTCGTCCACAGACCACACTTTGAGGAGTGAAGGTCACTAGACCATCTCTAAACCTCCTTAACGTGCTACACTTATCCCCACAGGTTATGACTCACATGCTTTGGCAGCTCAGCTTTTCCTGCCAGTGATGTGGGATCCAAGGTCACTCTAGGGCTTAGACCCCACCAGTGATCAGTAACCCCTTCCTCCCCATGCTCGATCCACATTCTTACTGCGCAGGCCTTGCTGTTCCTGGCTGGTCCTGCTGCTGAGTGCTAGTGCCCTGTGTTCTGTTGAAGGTACCCCAGGCTGCACAGCATGGTCGTCCGCTGCTACCTTCTCATCCAGCAGTACTCTGAGGCTCTGATGGCTCTCACCACCATGGCGTCACTCCGAGACCACAGCACACCGGAAACACTCAGCATTATGGATGACCTCATCAGCTCCCCAGGAAAAAACAGAAGTGGGAGGGGACACATGCTCATTATCAGGGTGCCCTCAGTGCAGCTGGCGATGTTAGCCAAGGAGCGGCTGCAGGAGGTGCGGGACAAGCTGGGTCTGCAGTATCGGTTTGAGATCATCCTTGGGAACCCGGCCTCTGAACTCAATGTTGCAACGCACTTTGTGGCGCGATTAAAGGTTAGCAACGGACAGACATTTCTCTTCCAAAATACCATTCGTTTCTGTTTTCTAGGGATCCCACATAGGTGGCTCAGGAGCCTGAGCTTAATAGACATTCGCACATGTGTGGATTTGACCTCCATAACGATGTTAAGGCTGAGCTAGGGAACATATTCACTTTCTTAATCGGAGCCAGTGTATAAAGATTCTGTCAGCCCCTTTTTAGCATGTGCATGCAGTTGGTCTTCCATGCTCTCCAACTGCAGGTGCAAAAAGTGAGATGACTCAATTTGACCCCATGTTTATTGACCTTGTTCAAGATGCATCTAGCCCATGGCCATCTGTTTTCTCAGAAAAAAAGGTAAGTTGTCCTCTTAGACCCCTATGGGGTAAGCCTTTAAGTGTCCTGAACTCACTGATTCTCTTCTGTTCATCCAGCCTGTCAGTTCATGTCTAGCGTCGGTAAAGTATCCTGCTTCATCTTCAGTACTCACAGAGGACTACTGCTCCTAGGCCTCTTGCATGTGGATTCCTCAAAAATTTGTTCTTTGTACTTGCTTTGACCCTCAGCCCCAAGGCTTTGGTTGGACTGTGACTTAGCCAGGTGCCCCCAAGACAGGTTTAGTGCATGACTGAGGCCCTCCCTGCTCTCTCTGCACGGCCAGTGCCTGAGTGCTTGTCCCCTACCCCTCCTGTCAGGCATGGGGGTGGGGGCAGTAGAATTCTCAGTCAACTAACCTAACTCCCTACCTTATGCCTGGCTGTTTTTTCTGGGGACTTTTACAATCCAGTATGGCCTAGCTACTCGAGAGCATTTAATCAAATACCCACATACATACAGGTATGGAACTGAGGTAGGCACTGTACATCCAAGTTAGACCAACATGGTATCTGTACACTAAGTACTAAGCTATATTGCGTTAAGAAAGATGTAGTTCGGCACAAATTTTACAGGGGAAAAAAGCACATAGTCTTGGGGAATTTTCATTTTTACCTTGGGCTGCAGTTTCCCATCTGCAAAATGAGAGACCTGGGCTGTATGATCTCTAAGAACTCTCATTTGAGGATGATTAAAAAGTCATTCTGCAAATGCAAACCTCTTTATTGTAGTCTATTAGCTAACCTAAATTGAATAATCCAAAATGCAAACAAAATATCTGTATTAGTTTGATAAGCAATGGGAATAAATTGTCCAAAAATACAAACTCCTATATTTAGTAGAAGTAACATTTATATTTCATATATAGATATATATTCACAATTTTAAATTATAGTCATAGACTTCATTACAGTGGCATTGCCAGGGTGAATGAAACACTTCTTAGAGTATAACTAATTCGCTGAGACAAGCACTTGAGGCAATATTGAATAATGATGATGAGGAGGAATGTGGAAAGGCACTCGGATCAGCAACTCTATGCGGATCTCACACACCTACTGCCAGAGAGGACTAAATGGATGTGAGGCTGCAGGGTCTTCTCTGGGTCTCCCTTGACATTGATTAAGTGTAGCTACTCACAGAGTCTTCGGTCATTTGTTCAGAAGGGCCAGCTACTATGTCAGTATAAATCAGTGGGTCCTAAATAATTTGTCCCTCTGGGCCATTGTATGAAAACCACAATCAAAGCCTGAGTTTCTTCACGTGGTGTGGCTGCTAGCTCATCAGAATCACCCGCAGGGATTTTAAAGAGGCTTTGGTCTGTGCAGCCAGGGTCGAGGACCGCTGTGCCATAAATGAAGGAGTTCTCAAGTAGTTACTTCTCAAAGCAGCAATATCTCCCTCAGTTGGTGTGAGTAGCTGCCAGGCACCAACTACACATAAGAGAGTCCCATGTTCTCAAAACCACTGGATCACATCAACCCATTCTTTTGATACTCTCTAATTGGGAGAAAAAATATGAGATCCTGTTTGGATGTTCACATCCTAAGCAAAACTTCCTTCTGTCAGATAGATTTTGGTTCACCTATTTCTAAGTTACCAACCCCCTTTATTATTTTCAGGATGGCATGGGTGTGCCTTTTATCTCTAGTCTTAGGTAAAATCCAACACTTTTTCCATTATGTAATCTCATTTATATGCTTACCCCTAATTATCCTATTATGTATTGTGTTTAACTTGTAAGTGATGATGAGCCCTTTGGAAGGATACAAGGTTCAAATCTAAATAAATCAGTTCCATTGTTTGAGGCCAGGAGTTAGAGACTGGCCTGAGCAACAATATAATTAAGACCTCATCTCTACAAAAAAATTTTTAAAAAATTAGCCAGGCATGGTGGTGCGTGCATGTAGTCCCAGCTACTCAGGAGGCTGAGGCAGGAGGATCACTTGAGCCCAGGAATTTGAGGTTGCAGTGAGCTATAATCATGCCACTGCACTGTAGCCTGAGCAACAGAGCGAGACCCTGTCAATCAATCAATCGATCAGTCCATTCCTCCAGAAGGCATGTGAAGCTTTCATTAGATGTCCTTGGCCTTAAGTCCTGTATTATCCTTGAACCCAATGATTATGTAGTTTTTTGTGTTAAGTTCCTCTGCAGTAAATTCATCTGGGGGCATGGTCAATCCATGGAAAATCTGCAGCCATCATTCATCAGAAGTAGCAGTGTGATGGAAGAGCATTTTATAGTGGGTTTGGTCTGATCGGTCTGATTGCTCTGATTGATCAAAAGTGAGATTTGTTTAATAATCTTCTGAAAATAAATCTCCTCATGTATAATAGTAAGACATTCTATCTGTTATCCTATCATTATAACCCAACCTCGTTATTCCTGGTGGAACCATGATCCATAGATGGTTTCTGGGAGACAAAATACATTCACGGAGAATCCCAGTGTCAGGAACACCATGAGTCCAGTGTGAAGGCTATAAGTAAAATTATTCCTATTCCAGAATAGTTTGCTTTAAATCAGGCAGTGTTATGGTGCTCTTTGACATAAAATAGTATGGAAAATGGAATTTTTGTGGAGAATATTTTTTCTAGGATTTTAAAAATCTTTTTGCCAGATTGATTTTTTTGAAGACATAGAAAGTCTCTCAAACTCATAAACCATTATGTAGATCCACTGATTTCCCCTTGGTATGTGTATATATAATAACATACTGGGCAACAAGTAAAAGCACAAGAATGGTTAAGGTTCTTCCAGTTTTACAAGTTATGGAAGTTTCATTTGAAGTAATTGTGAGTATGTTTATTTCTAAAGACTGGTTTTCCTTTATTGAGCCTTTTCTAGACATCAGCAAATCATTAATCAAACCGTATTAGCTCTTTTGTGTGTGTGTGTGTGAGACCGAGTCTCATTCTGTTGCCCGGGCTAGAGTGCCGTGGTGTCAGCCTAGCTCACAGCAACCTCAAACTCCTGGGCTCAAGCGATCCTCCTGCCTCAGCCTCCCGGGTAGCTGGGACTACAGGCACGCGCCACCATGCCCGGCTAATTTTTTTTTCTAATATTTTTAGCTGTCCAATTAATTTCTTTCTATTTTTGGTAGACATGGGATCTCGCTCTTGCTCAGGCTAGTCTCGAACTCCTGAGCTCAAACAATCCGCCCGCCTTGGCCTCCTAGAGAGCTAGGATTACAGGCGTGAGCCACCGCGCCCGGCCACCGTATTAGCTCTTGCCTGGTGGATTTCTTTTTATCCCATTTTATGCTTAGCAAAGGAAGTACCAGTCTATTTCAAAATAAAATTGTATCCATTACTTAACACCTCACTTTTTAGTCTTTGTTCCCTAAAGCATTATCAGTTCATTTCTTATAACTCCTCCTAGAAAGCTAATAAAAAGCAGTCAGGCTCCTTCCCTTTTCCATTCGCACGCCTTGCTCCGCCATGCCCTGCTCTGAAGAGACCGCTGTTGTGTCCCCCAGCAAGCGGCCCGGCCCGCGGAGGAGGGCAGCATGCAGGTCCGCTTTGCCCGGCTGTCGGAGCACGCCACGGCCCCCACCCGGGGGTCCGCACGGGCTACGACCTGTACAGTGCCTATGATTACACAATACCATCTATGGAGAAAACTGTTGTGAAGACAGACATTCAGATAGCTCTTCCTTCTGGA